CCCCCCCCCCCCCCTTGATAAAAACAATTTTTAAAATGCACCCCCCACCTTCCAACCCCTTCTTGACCAAGTCTCTTCATCCATCCTTGGGCAATGATTTTATAAGCTATAAGATACTGGTCATCAGCATTGTAGCGTGAGATTTTGAAGATCCATGCAGAGGAAAAGTTAGTTAGGGTCTTGGAAATTCTATCTTCTACTTTTTCTGCAGGATATTTTCAGTAAAAAAATAAGAAAGAAAATGCAGAAATAAGTTTTTTATTTTACCCATCTCTAGTGTTATTGGTAAGGCCGTGACAGTGTGCAGCAAAAAAGGGTAAAACATTGACGCAATCGAGAAGGTTACAAGCAAAGGGCGAGATGTGTACCCTTCAGACAGGCAAATTCTTTTATAATGCCATATATATCAATAATATTACGTCCTTGAACTCATATGCAGAATTTTCAGAGAACTCAATCTCTCGTCTGTCATGGTCCTTCATAAAGGAGTTTGCAGTCTCTTCATGCCGCTGTACCGCTGTAGCTATGCTCAGCTGTGCACGTTGACACAGGGTAAGTGAACAAAGTTATGAGAGCTACATATACTCCTGGATAGAATTGGAGTTAGCTTGGTTTAAAGTCTCAACCAAGGTGTCTGGCTTCACATTCAGATCCATTTCACTGCACTTCAAGAACAGTAAAAAGATAAAGGAAATCCTAACACAAAAACAAGAATATAATGCGAAATGTTTATTCCGATTTAATGATTAAAATGCTTTCAGCAAATAAAAGAAATCTATATATTTTTCCAGATTTCAGCTGTATGCACGTGCATAGGCATTTGTGCGTACATGCCCACTACATTCCTGGTGGGAGAAATAGCTGATAGGTTCCTGGGCCAAGCTTTATACGGGTAACATTTTGTTGCTGACAAAGAACAGCCAAAGGCTATTTTTTTGACTACCACTGAAGGAAATGTGAATTTGCTTCAATCATAATATAGTTTGACAACTTTTACATAAAGGCCAGTCCGGTGTCTTAATATTTCGACCCCCCTTACATTTTGTGCATTTTCAAAATTGACTCCCCCAAATCAAGCCTCCTAGAAAATAGTACCTCCCCTCCAACCACCCCCCCCCCCCCCCCCCCCCCCCCAAACGTAAAAAAAACCACACCCCCCCACCGCCCTTTTTTCTCAAAAAAAAAAAAGCAGTTCTTTGGTCTCCCCTCCACTTTATTAATTTTGGTTTACTGTAAATTTTTAAATTTAAAAACAACTTTAGACTTTTTTCTTTTTGTGGTTT